TTAAATTTTGCTTCTGGTTCAACCAAAGACTTGCAGTAAGACTGTTGGCAAATACTACTGGTAATAGTTTAAAACATTTGTCAGTAGACAAAAAAACCAGACTAGACACATTCTAATCAGACACTATTGTGTGAATTTAATACAGGAATTTTAAAGATAGTCTTACAAACAAATGAGGGGACATGGAGCAATTTAGAACCAGAAAATAAATGAACAATTTTAGGGAAAATATCTAGTTAGAGTCTTATAACACATTAGATACTCTAAAATGCTGTTTGGTTTAAAGAGTATTTTAAGGAAAATTTTTTTTTAAAAAAGAAGATACTATCAAATATTTAGACCTCTAAATGGGGAAATAGTTAAATGTGAAAGCAATAGAAGAAATCACAAAGGAAAAACTAATACATTCATATGGATTAAATATTGAAACTCTTGGATAACAGATAAACATAAAAGCAATCTATTTACCCAACACCTATGTACTAGGCACCTACTATGTGCCAGGTATAATTCTAGGTCCTTGAGATATGTCTGAAAACAAAGAAGACAAAGGTCCTGCATTCCTCTTATCACAGGGCTTACATTTTAGTAGATAAAGATTGACAACAAAACTGGATTAGCTGGTACCTGCTTGTGTTCCCAGGACTGAGGCAAGAAGATTTCTTGAGCCCAGGAGTTCAAGACCAGCCTTGGTAACATAATGAAATCCTCACCTCAAAGAAAGGATGGGGGAGACTGAGGAAAAGAGGGAAGGAGGGAAGGATGGAGGGAGGGAAAAGACAAGGAAAATCATGAGAGACAGGTGGCTGGGATGTGAAAAGATGGGAAAAAGAAAGGTAAAGTGGAGCAAAGAGGGGAAACAGAATTGAAAAGGGCTGAGTTTGATGTGTTTGATGTGTTAAATAGGGCAGTGAGGGTAGACCTCAAGAAGAAGATGCAGTCTGAATCAAGACTTGCAAGAGGTAAGAGAGTGAGCCTGTGGGCATCTTGGGGGATATGTGAGAGCATTCAGGTAGAGAGAACAGCCATCTATTAACATAGCAAAGACAAGAGATTGGAAAATACATTGGTAGTGAATGAAACAGAAAAGAGACAATGACCCTAGCAGAGAAAAAAAAAGTTATTGAAAGTGAATTACCACTTTACCCTCACTATCATTCTTATGAATAACTGAAATTTGACTACACACATAGTACATATCTCAGGAAAGGAAGGAAAGAAGAGGAAAAAAGAAAGTTTATGAATGCTTCTAGGGGAATCATTTGCCCAAAGTCTTTGGGATGGAGAAGACATACAATGTCTGCCTTGGGATTTTTCTGTTTGGTTAAGTTGATTCCTAATGACTTGAATTAAGTCCTTTCAATGGAACTGCACAAAAGCAAATTTTGCTCAGACTCTTACATTATCTAATTTCATTTATTCTTGCATGAACATTAAACTAAATTGGTCAGAGAAAAATCTTTTGCTAAATTCAATTTGCGCTGATTAGGAAATTTGTGTGTCATACAAGCAAAACACAATATGAGTGGGTTAAAAAATGTCCTGGCTATTGAAAAAAAATTTTTTTAAAAGATGATTCAGATTTTCCATGCTTCATTAATGAATTAAATTTGTGTTGGGGGTGAACAGGCTGTGGCCCTTGTTTGGGAAATCACCCAAGAAGTGGGCAGTTTGTTCTTTCTGGAGAAGTAATACAGCCTCAAAGACTGGAACACTTGAATATCTTCAAATCCATTCTGCCCTGGCTCCACATGACCCTTTCTTGCCATTTCCTAACACTTTCATCATTTCCTTTTCAAAAACATTTTCCTGCTTTACTCAGACCCAGTTTTCTCAGCAGTCTCTACAAGGCAGAGTTGGTCCTCTCTTATCTCCCCTGGCCTAAGTCCTTAGCAGTATTTCAACCAAACTAATTATCTTTCATTTTATTTCCTGACTTCTAAAACAAACAAATGGAAAATTTAAATAGGGTTGGTTCACAGCCTTTCAGGGAGAGGAAGGTGCTTGTTAGAGGGTCAGGTACCTTAGGGCAAGGATACAGGTCTGAGCACAATTACTTGATAATACTTGACGCCTTCCAAAAGCAAAAAGACTGACTCCATGAGTAGCCTGTTTTACGAGTATTACCAGAAGCCTGTCTTTCAACCTTAGTCACCGGAACTTCTACTCTGCTAAGATATATATGAAGAATTTTGCATTTTATAGGTCACTGAAAAAAAGCATTTAGACGCGTGGGAAGAAAAGACTAAAATGTTATGAAGAATTTCCTGAAAATTATTAATAGTACATGTCAAAGGAATGCTTGACCAAAATGAGGCTCATGTCTGTGAAACAGAGATTATTGAAACATGACAGCCTCAAGTTAAAGAACAGCATCTTTCAGGGCTCCAGAGAGACAGGGTTTTACTACGGCATCTTCTCAGGCAATAGTCACCGTGGCTGTGGGTGGAGAGTTGCCAAGGACCACTTCCATGCTCAGCACCTTCTGCAGTCTCAGAAGTTATTTTGCTAGTTTCCCCTTTTTCATAATATTCCTGATTAGGTAAAACTTCTGGAAAGGGGTTCAGGAAGGACTTCTCCATGAAAGGAGGTACAGTTGACACCAAACCATTTATAACTCTTAGGCTGAGTGTGGGTCAGTGTGATCCCACACAGCAGCCTTGAACATGCCATGCTCAGACCCAGGTCCATCTGCACAGTTCAGAAAGCAGAAGCCGGTGTGCCTAAAGGAGTATCAGGACGTATCATCTGGCTGATTAAGGAGGTCATATACACCAGATAGGGAAAATTATATATATGTTTATCATACTTAACTTGGGGGATCCTTTTATATTTATGGACTCTGATAGAGAAGCCCGATGTCTAAACAGATGAAAGATAACATTTAGGATTGGTGACCCCACTCACTAACATCCTTCCCAGCAGAGACTTTTAAGGGGCTTCTCAGGGCCCCTAAAGGTCAGTGGACCTGATCTGGAAAACGATGCCTCTCTAAGGTTCCTGACACTCTAGTGCCTACACTATCGGAGGGTAATAAATTCTTGGCTTTTGTGGTCAGTGGAATCAAGTATCATATGCAGGACTTGGACTCCCCAAATCTCCACACAGTATATCTGAACCATATTATGGGCTGGAAAATGTCAAAGGTGCGTCATTGGGTTCATTGCGTGGAATTCTGAGGTCGCTTTTTCTGATTTTGGTGACTATTGAGTAAAGGAAGTATTGGAAGAACACAGTCTCTGATCTTCAGAAAATTTGTGTCATGACCTTAGACCTGACTCAGTACATAGCCCACATAGCAAATTCAAATACCTAGTAATAGTATTTCCATTCATTAAATATACCTAATTCAGTTTTTGATGTATTTACCCCCTTTGTATTTATTGTTAAGGGATGTATAATCTACACAGAGTATGCACAGATGAGTTTTGACAAATACCATGTAGCCTACACTTTAAGACACACATTTCCATCCTTCCAGAAAATTCCCTTACTCCCTTTGCCTATCAAATCCCCTTTTTTCCCTGAAGTAACCACTGTTTCTATTCCTATCATCATATATTAATTATACTTTTTTTAGAGCTATATAAAATGGATTAATAAACTGTACATTATTTTGGGTCTAATGCCTCAAGCTTTGAGCATCTATAGAAATCTCTTCTTTGTCTCCTTATCTTTAAATTGACGGCACTGCCCCAGAAGATTGTGCTGAGGTATTCTGAGGTGCCCTACGTTTCCTGGTGTGTGTGTGAAGGGGAGGAACTCAGAAGTCACTTTGATTAGGAGAGGGTGAAGAGGAGGCTGAGGAGCAGAGCTAGAAGCCACCCTTCTTGTGTTCAAACAAAACAGCTGTCCTTTTCCATATTTTATAAAATGGAGTCCACTGTGAGACTTCATTTGGCAAAGGGGAGCTTTACTTGTAGAAAAACTGTGTGTGTGCAGGTGTGTGTGTGTGTGTGTGTGTGTGTGTGTGTACATGTGTACCATAGAATCTCAAAGATTCTTAGTGATCCCCTTCTGGGAGCATTCTATAAAACACCAATAGTTTTCTGCTGTGTGAGCTGTGACTGGACTCCTCAAGGGAGGGCTGGGAGACAGAGGCAGCCAGACTGGGGACCCCGAGGGAGGGCCTGGGCACTGACACTGTAATATTAGTACCGGTTACAATCAGATAGCACCAGCCAAACTGAGGCGCCTAGACAATAGGCCAGAGGCCATGGATGAGGGGAAGCACAAAGACAGCATTCAAAAGACTGGACTCCTGCAGCCAGCGAGCTTTTCTATAGACTCCACCAGATGCTGGCCCAGTCTGAATGTCACCTTACTGCCAGAAAGCCATTTTTTCATGGTGAGCTTTTAAACTGCTAAAAATAATAAACACACAGAAGAAACTGCTGACACAATCTTAAATGCAGAGACAAACTGAAACTGTGTTGCTTTAATAATGAAAACAAACTGAGTTCCAAACTATGACCCAGTGTTCCAAACAGGCTGTTTGATGTTACCATACACCTCACGATTAAAGGGGGAGCTCTGAGGTTTATCAGCAAAGCAAGGGGATCTTCGGTGGACAGGTACTCATCTCTATCTGACTTGCTCTAACCAGTTCTTACCTAATTCTATACTCTGGTTTCTCTGCAGATTGCATAAATCTTTCCCCCTTTTTACCTAATTCTTCTGCTTTTTTACCATTCAAGGAAAAGATACACGGGAGAAGACTGTTGGATCTTGATGGGGAACAAGTTTCCCATGTAACAAGTGAAAAGGGTGCCCTTTTTGATGACTCTCCAGAGTGTTCCGTAAATTTTTCTTTTCTGATATGTATATTTTCAGTTCATTTAAGGGTGTGTATTTCTCCTGGATACCTACAGAGCTCAGAACTGTGGAATCACAAAAGCAGCATTGCCACAAGTTGGAAGATAATTCCCATAATGCTAAAAAAGTACCAATTAATAGCAAAAAACCACAAGTTTGCAAATAAGTCAAGCCTGATATCTGACCTTTTCATGTATTAAATCATGTGTGGAACTTGGCACCCACGCAGGTTGGCCGATGGGACGGAAACCGCAGATCTGGAAAAAAGGAAACACAAGAAGATAAATATAAGTTGGTTTTTCTTTTTCTTTTTTAAAAGTTCCTCAACATTTGATTAATCCGTAACTGCTATTATTTCTGTGTTTAAATAGGCTCTGGTTTCAGAGCTCTCTCTGATTTTCAATACATGCAAATAGACTTTGATAAAATCTCATTCAGAAGGGGAGATGCTTTCAGGGAAAGGGACTTTAACACAAGGGCTGTAACAACACTACAGGCATGGGACAATTTTCATGGCTCCCAAAGACCTACTGTTCTGTGGAGTGTTAGGAACAAGACCCAAGGGTTTTGATTCCCAGCCTGGGAAGATGACTAAAAGGCAAATGTGAATCTCAAACTGATTAGAAATTTTGTGTGAAGAGAGAGAGATAAAAAAGTCTGGCTTCATGTCAGAGAATAGTTCCTGGGATAGGTCTTCATGTCTAAAAGCTGTGCCTGTGCCAGGGGAGCAGCCCTGCTAGCCAGCACCTGTGCTGGGCGCTGGCGCCATCAGCAGATGCTCCAGGGTCTCCATTGGAGCATGAAGCCATGGAGCATCTAGATGGTGCAAAGTGCAGTCAGACTGGGAATGGCTCCCACAGATAGAAACGAGATGAGAGGAGGCCAGACAGCCCATGGCTTCTGGGTGTGTGGCCACGGATGTCTCCAAGTGTCTGCACGGCAAATGAGGAGCTGCTTTTAAACTGTGCTTCCATTATTTTTGTGGTTGTTGTTGTGGGGAGCTTAGAAATCACAGAAAACCACAGGTTAGTAAAATAGACGCTTGGTTCCCACTACCTAGACTGGACCAGTGTTAGCATTTTTTTCATATCTGTTCTATTTTTTATATTAAAAATAAAGCATAAATATAATCTCTTTAACATCACCCCAAGTCCAGACCATAAATTTATCTTTCCAGGGCCCCCTTTTTTTTTTCTTTTTGTTCACATACATTTCTATGTATCCAGGGCAGCGAACACAGTTTGTATGCTTTTAGTTTAACTATGTGCTATGAATCTCTATAAATGTATCTCTCCTACATTTTTTAGTCAACATTATGCCTTTCAGTTCTAACTATGCTGATCTATAACAGCTCATTCCCTTTAACTGCCACATCGAATAAATATACACTTCATTATTGTCTTTTCACCCAACACCCAACATTTATGGCACCATAAAAGTGCTTGTTATATCATTAAAGTGATTGTTGGTTATGTGTGGGTGTGCATATGCATGTGTATGTGTGTGCGTGTTTTCTCTGCTCGAGTCTGGGCTTCTTAAAGATGCAAGTGGCTCTTCTGCACTACGACTGCCACTGGCTGCACACCCAACACGTGGAAAGGTGATGGAGATTTATTAAAGACTGACTTGTTTGTTGTGAATTTTCTCCCATTTGTAAGGAACAGAAGATGACTTTGAAGAGGTATTTATTTCCTTCTAACTCTCTCTCCACTGCTCTTGTCATAAGCTTTCCAATGTAAAACCTTCAACTTCTCACTGCTACATTGTCAGAAATTCAGATAACACGAGGCGAAAAACCAAGACATTTAAGGACACTATATCCTAAAGACATTCTCAACTTAACAAAGCCAGAAAAAAACTTATTTTGTAACTGCTGTCCTAAATTTATGGCAATATCAGTAAATATATACTGCTATCCTGCCATTAAATCTAAAAACACATGGCACCTTTTGTATAAACACAACATCAGGCTTCAATATATGTTTTTGAGATGATAATTCTCATCATGGTGATTTAGACTTTAATGAATATATATGAATTTAACTCCACAGAAATGATATAAAATAAAATAAAATTCTCACGTAATTAACAATAATAAACATTTTCATACACATTTAATAGGCACATTTTATCCACTGGGGTTGTACGAATTATTTCACCTAGTTACCCAGGGTTTAAACTTTAAGAGACCATCTGAAATAGGTATTATTATTATTTTTTTTGGTTTTTCTCCGGTACCTGGAACCGAACTCAGGACCTTGTGCTTGCCAGGCAGGTGCTTTTGCCGCTGAGCTAAATTCCCAGCCCCCTGAAATAGGTATTATTAATAACCCCATTTTCCAGAAAGGAGAGGCAGAGAAAGGTGAAACATTTTACTCAAGGTCTTACAGTGAAGAAGAAACTACCCAGGAATCTCACCCAGGCAGTCTGATGTCATAGGTCTTGTTCTGAAAGATGGAGAACTGGCTCAGGTTTTAAAGACAAAACTGCTGAGAAAAAATTGAAAAACAGTGCCATTGAGGTGGCTTCCAAATTTTTTGCAATAATACAAACACAGAACATCTTTTTCATGGTGTATCTCCAACTGAGAACAAACAAAATTAAAGTCCTTCACACAAATTCAAAATGATTTGTCTGTGATGAGTAAAATTTAAAGAAACAAGGTCACACCCCAAACCCTTCCAACTCAAACACATTCATTTTTTATTCTTCTTCTGTGCAGAAAACAGGGATCTGTGAATTCACTTGTGGCTCAAAGGAGACTGCCCAGTTTTATTGACACAAGATTCAAAGCAAAAATAAGAATCACTCCCTGGGATAGCTTTAGCTCAGAACGTGTGTTCTTTACACATTTTTAATTGAGGCACAAATATATTAACAGTGAGGTTATTTTGTAGTTTCAAAAGAATCTGTTTTGTAACTGATTCATATTTATATTTGGAATACATTTATTTCTAGGCATGAAACAGTTCATTTTATTAAGCCATCTGACCTGAGGTGAGGTTGGCACTGTTTCCCATGGTTGCTCCCAATTAATGCAAATTGAGGGTTAAAGGATAAATAAAGTTCCTTTAACGTGGTTTACTAATATGTTATTTATAAATGGTTCTTTTCTTGGTCAATTTTGGGGGGAGTGCCATAAATTCGTACAAATACAACTTCACAAAAGCAAACTAGCAAATACATAATGTATTTTATTGCCAAGTTTTAAATGAATTAAATTGCACAGGGACTGAAAAAATTAATTCTATTTATAAAAAATAATTCTATTTACCATCTATCTTTAATCTTATATCTCTTGCCTGAGATTGATTACATTAGTAGCCTACATTTCTTGTTTATTCTGAAAGGGCTTACTCAGTCTTCTTGAATTTTGTTTTGACAGTTATGTAGTATACCTTATATCGCTAAGTCACAGCGACATTTACTAAAAGCCAGGGAGGTCTTTTCATTTACTATTTCAAATAGGACTCCAATGCATAATGTTGCATGAGAGCTGATACGTACATGTACAAGGAGAATTCTTAATGTCTAAGGCAAATTTTAAGAAATGGAATTGGTTACTTAATGAGAATGGGCATTTTAGATTTTGACAGATATTTCTAAATTAGATTCCAATTTATATTCTCTGTCTGAAAGTTCCATTTCTGTATACCTTTGTTAATATAATCATTTATTAAATGTTATCTTTACCTATTTGATAGCAGATAAATGGAATCCTAGTTTGAATTCATGTATATTTTGGATGAGTGAAGTTGAGAATCTTTTGATATGCTTACAAGTCTTTATAGTTCTTGTTCTGTGGATTTCCCCCTTTTCTTTTCTGCCTTCCTTCTTTCTGTCTTTTTTTGTTTCCCAGCTTCCTCTCACTGGTTTGCCCATGTTTTCCCCATTCTTCCCCTACTGGGCTGATGGTTTTTTTTATTACTGTGTGGATGCTTCATGTCTTCTACAGAAACAAATTATTTTCTCTTTCTTTTATCTTTGAAATCTTTGTTGACTGGGGGGAAAGCCCAGAGCACCTACCTATCATGTATTAGGCTCTGGGTTTAATCTCCACCACCACTAAAAGATTTTCAATGTAGATCTTTTTTCTAAGCTTTCTTTTCTTTCATGAGAATTGCAAAAATTTAATACGACAGATCTACCCTCTTAAACAATTTTTTAAGAAAAATAATGATATTGCTATTAATAGGTACAATGTTCTATTCCTTCCTTCATGTAACCTTTTATTATGTAACTTTGCAGTTCTGTTCATGAAAGAGGTCCAGTCTATTTTCATGTGCTCTTTGATCCTGTTTTTGGCCATGTGGCTTTTCTGCCCAATGAAATGCTATCAGATATGCTACCTATAAAACTTTGAAAAGTTCTCATTACGTTTACGTGTTTGTCTGCTCCTCTGTGATTGTCACAAGAACATGCCTAAGCTAGCCTGTCATGGGTGAGAAGCACACAGCGGAGCTGGCTTACATCGGTAGTCTCCATCAGGCCTAGATGAGCAGAGCCTGACTTTTGGCTGACCACAAAGGCAGCAGTGAGCCTAGCTGGAGCTGGAAGAACCAGCCTACCAACTAGACTCATGAAGTAATAAATGCTAGTTGTTTCAGACTGCTCCATTTGGGGGTAACTTGTTACTGTTCTAGGGACTCCCCTGCCAATATTATTAGCACTAGATAACTGATACAGGACTTAGCCCTATGTTATTTAAAAGACAGATGCCCACATAGATGATGGTTTAAAAATAGGTAATAAGGCACAGGAAATATCCATCAAATTCCAGCTGTATCTTATCCAGAATATACATACAAACTGTTATAAGCATTTAAGCAAAGGAGTGAGTAGGCAATAGTTATACAGGTGAAGGAAAAGATGACGCCATAAAAACAGGGAGAATGAAGCACGCAAGGACTCAGAGCAAGGGCAGGAAATCCCTAACTATTTAGATAAGAACTAGGTGTTAATACTGGAGCCCCATGGCCAGGGTGACCCAGCAGAATCTGAAAGCTCACTTAGCCTCCTCTAGAGTCTAAAGGAGATGTGGCTGTTCTCGGAGACGCCCTTGGAGGCGGACAGAGTGAAGAGGAAATACCTCGCTTCCTTCAGTCTTACTTTCTCCCTCCAGGGCCTTCTAAGGTTTGAACTTACAAGGAAAAGATCTGAGGAAATATCTCATCATGATGTGCAAGGCAAGGCACCACAGAGGTACTGCTCAATGGTGAATGCTGCTACATCAAAAAAATAACTGGGAATCAAACTA